TAGTATGTGTCATCAATTGAAATGGAATACCTGACAACAAAAGGTTAAGAAGATCGAAGAAAAGATGATGAGAATAGAGAATGATTGGTGTAGATATTCTGTAATTTTATACTCATATACATCTGATTGTCCCCACTTATATTCTAGTTCACTACAATATAACTATACATGTTATGAATGAACACTCAGGTATATTTAAACTGATTATTGTTTCCCTTTCTATTCTCTTCAGTTATATCATCTCAGTCCTTTACTACCAGGCATTCCACTTCTGATTGATGTTATATACTACTTATATCTGGCAACATAAGTAGTATACACTATATAAATACATATATGTATAGTATGATAAACTTCATGACGTTACAAATATACACAAATTTCATTCTTTATTCAACTATATGTGCATCATATAGTTAGGTTATTTATAAGTAGACAGGATAAATATTCAAGATTTCTTTCTTGTCGGTCAGGAAAAAACGTTAGTAACGACTTATTTTTAATGAACTATTTTATTACTGAAATAATTAAACTGAACATAGGGATTTTCATGGTTAATTAACTGCAACGTTAAAACTAAAGGATATAATGATGCAGGATAGATGTAATCTCTGTGTTTCGTCTCATTTGGAACTCGTCAGTTGGATGTATATGTATCGAATTTCATAAATGAATTCATGAGTCAATTAAAGCTAGACCACCATTATTGAAAACCTGAAAGATATTGACAACCGTCTCGTTCTAGTATGGAACTCCTCACTAGTACACATCTGAAATATCGGCCACTGGATTCGAATCCAAGAACTATAGGCCTTGCACTCGAGCGCTTAACTTCTAGACCACTGTATTTGAGTCAAAAATATCAATAACAGGATAAACCAAATCATTTTAAATTGAATTAAAAAGGATAAATTATTTAAGATCATTTTTGTCAAATACTGTGATTAATTAGAAAAGTATGAACAAAGAAAATAGCGCGCTTGAGAGAACCAAGGCTGTCGAATGGACATCCATAGGTAGTAGCATACTAATTTGAGGTGATCGTTTTGTACTTTATTATCATCAAAATCAATGCAGTTAGATAACTACAGAATTGAAATGGATTGGAACACCACAAATTTATGGATCAAGACAATTCTATATCAGTTGGAGTATTTCTAGAAATATAGTTTTCAGATCAATCAACAATCTGCATACACATTGATTTTGATCAGTCTTGTATACCCATAAGAGAAGGTTTGATCTACTGTATGATCAGAAATCAAAGTAAAAAGATAATCGATTTGAATAGCAAAACAAGTGAAGATGACAAATTTTACACAGACTGCTGGCTACAAACGAATTGATATAATAAGCTTGTAAATTAGTTAAGTCAGTCCTATATGAAGATAGCTCTAAGAATGCTATCCAGAATGACAATGGAGGTTATGCAATAAAACATTTCACTTCAAACAATACAGCAACACTAGTTTTGCAAATAAATACTAATCTATGGTTTACGAAATCTTTCCAAACTATACATATTTTCTTGGTATATTTAAACGTTTGCGTGACAGCATCGGTTCTGGGTTCGAGTCTCACGTACATGATTGTGGATGGGCAATGCTAAGGAGTCTGATATTAGTGCGAAACAAACATTCAATAATATATTTAAGTTTTATATACGAAGCGCGCTTTGTTCTATTCATGACTAATTACGTGGATGTCTCTGTATCATAGTGTTGATATTTACAGCGAAATTCTATTCTAGCAGCTACAACTTCAAACATTTTCACATTATTCCCTAAACTGATAGTTTCAGTTAACCACCGATTTATTCATTGTGTGCATATTCTCTTAACTAGTTGAGTGTGATTGAGATGATTCATAGACAAAGGCAGATGATCCTTAAACCTCAGTTTTCTGTGATTAGCCTTAAAAATTCTCTAAAAAGCAAATGATTGCCAAAATTTTCAAACCATTGAACAAGTCACAGATATTGCGCCTTTATGCTCTATTTTCATATCGATGATGTTTTCAAGATGGATGCTGTGTGGAACTCTATGAAAATCGTCATATTGAACAATAAATATTTCCAGAGGAAGTTTTTTAATAGTTGAGATCACGAATCAATTGAAGCTAGACCACCAAGAAAAATCCTGGAAGCACTAAATGGCTATCTCTTCTTATTGTCGGACTCCTCAACAGTGCGCATCCACGATCCCGCTCGCGGGATTCGAACCCAGGGCCTTCAGTCTCGCGCACGGATGCTTAACGCAACTGGACCACTGAGCCAGCCGGCATCCAGTGGTCTTAATGTCTTATCTTAACCAATCCACGAAACTGCGCAACTATCTTCCATTGTACTGACGTAGAGATACTTATCTCTACCCGACATGGATTAGCTCCACTGGTCACGGCTTCCCTCGAGCGGGTTCGTGGATGCTCACTACTGAAGAATCCCACAATAAAACGAAACGACCTTCTAGTGCTTCCAGTTTTTCTATGGTGCTCTAGCTTCAACTAATTCATGATCTTAACCATTGAAATTACTATCATATCCATAAAACTCCTTCTGATATATAATAAAAGTTTTATTCAATATGTATATGATACATTACAATTCTAGTCAACATCTGTTACGAATTAGGTAATCATTATGTAATCATATAATTAAAGATTAAATTAATATTATACTTCTAACATGGTATATAAACATTCATGTTCATTTATCATTTCATAATGTTGTAAGTAGAATGAATGTTTATCACTGATCGATTAGTGAGTAGTAACTATGGATTTAATGTCTATTAGAGTGGATCAGATACAATTGATCAAGTTGTAATGTAAACAATTGTTAGAATAATTCAATACGGATTGAAGTAGGCGGAGATTTTAAGTGGTTGGAGGTGGATAAAGATAAATCCTGCTTGTATTAGATTGAATACTAGTTAGGGTTTGTTTGTAAATGGTGGTTGTAATTTTAAGGTAATTGATTCTCCTTGTTAGCTCGAAACCGGTATCACTTAGTTTTACAATATTGGACGCTATAATTGTGCTATATATGTCACAATTATCTTCCTGTAAGACTGATTTATCCGCAATTAATTGATCACTGATTGGTATTCAGTGTTCCATGATTCATTTTTCACTAATAGATTTTGCGATTTTCGACTTCATGTGCAGTATTGAAATTTATAAAGATGGTCAGCAGAAAGCCCTGATTGACCAAGGTATTGTGCTATTTGATAATCTCAGTGGTTGAAATCATGAGTCAATTGAAGTTAGATCAGCCTGGAAAACATGGAAGCACTGGACGGCCATTTCGTCCTATTGTGGGACTCCTCAACAGTGCACATCCATGATCGTCGAAAGATCCAAACTCAGGTTTCATCAGTCTCGCGCGTGAGCGCTTAACCACTAGACTACTGAGTCAGCCGTCATCTAATGGTGTTAATGTCTAACTTCATCTAATCCACGAAATTGAGCGACATTTCCACCATTGTCGTCAGTGAGTTGCTATCTATTCATTGAAGTTTGCAACTTCCCGTTTTAAATATTTAGATCTGTACTTAATAAGAATGAATGAATTCAGCGACAATCATACTAAAAATAACTATTAAATCATGGTAATCTATTCTTGGTATATATAAAACATGAAAAGAACAATTCTGAATACGAATAATAGGAAATTATCTAGAATAACTACAATGACAATGTTCTATTTGTTATTGTGTTTTGAATAAATACATTACCTTCATGGTAATGTTATAATTGAAGTATAAATGAATCTGTTGGAGTACATCATTTTCGAGAGAGAGAAAGAAAGAAAGAAGAATATGGCGACTGATTATATCTGTAGTTGTCAAGGAGAGAGAGAGAGAGAGACGGAGAGAGAGACGAGGAAAAAGGATTTGACAATTGTTTTGTTTCCATGTAATACACTTCATTTATATTTATTTTATAATCTTGTGAATAGATTTAAACATATTCTTGTCATCAACAGATAACTAAGAGGATCTTAAATTCATATGATGTTATTTGTTTGAATCATTCCATTGATGTTTAGAAGACTGCAGTTGATCAGTCGCTTATTGACATATATGCATATATACTAAATTTAGTAGCTAAGTCGATAATGTAATGGCGTTCGAAGTGAAAGATACTGAGTTCCAGTCTCAGAGTGAACATTAACTCTGTGATGCAGGTACATCCAGCTGATGAGTTCCAAATAGGACCAAGTGATGCGCGTCCTAGATTCCACTGCTAGTCACTATCCATCTTTGTATATACGAGAATCTTAGTTTACATAATATCTTGTTAATAAATGATAGTTACATAATGTCAAGATAATCGCGCTTTAACCGAGTTCATGGATATGGAGGATTCAACTGAGGGAGTTATAAAACCCTGATTTCAAACCATTCGAGCACATGGGATCCAGGATCCTAAAGCAACAAATAGTGTCATCGGCTATCATGTGAATGCATCTCCTTACCTTTCTTCACTGGCTTGTGGACCAGAGCTTTCGGTCGGAGGCTCCAGGTGTGGCCCCCTCAGAAAACCACCTACTTCGTTTTGGGCACCTGGACAGTATCCCAGCTCTTACAAAACTCGAGTGACTTATGTGGCGCATACCTGTTTGGTGCCCCTTTGTTACAATATTTATGTGTTCAAATATATTATAATAATAATAAAGAAATTGAATTTATGAGAGGAGATTTTTGTTGTTGCTATCACAGTCAATATTTTTAGTTGAATTTTCTCGTCATTTTCTTTTTCAAAGAAAATGGATTTTAGAAAAATATACAAGAGAAAGAAATAAGATAAAAGAGATAATCAATTGATTAGTTATAATCTGATAATATCCATATATGTAAATCTATAAAAGAATGAAGAATAAAATGTAATTTGAAGGGTGGATACTGTTCCTTTTTCCTCTTCTGAATGTTCAAATCAATTTAATGACATAATATACTTATTGGATTAGATGAAGAGATTGTTTCTATATGAATTAAGCAATGATGATGATGATGATGATGATGATGATGATGATGATGATGATGATGATGATGATGATGATGATGATGATGATGATGATGATGATGATGATGATGATGATGATGATGATGATGATGATGATGATGATGATGATGATGATGATGATGATGATGATGATGATGATGATGATGATGATGATGATGATGATGATGATGATGATGATGATGATGATGATGATGATGATGATGATGATGATGATGATGATGATTTGGATGATGATGATGATGATGATGATGATGATGATGATGATGATGATGATGATGATGATGATGATGATGATGATGATGATGATGATGATGATGATGATGATGATGATGATGATGATGATGATGATGATGATGATGATGATTTGGATGATGATGATGATGATGATGATTCGGATGATGATGATGATGATGATGTTGATGATGATGAAACTTTCAACCGTTATACTTATTATCTAGCTCATTCAACTCAATAACATTAAAAGAATACAGCTAAGTTGTGAAGTATTTTCAATATATTTTAATATTGATTATTAATAGATACATTAAAGTGCATTCAGAGATTTTGTCACGTTTTCAATGTTAAGATATTATGTTAACTCTCAATGTTGTTCTAGTATGGTCTTAGTTACATTTGTACTTTATTTGCTAAGATATGAATGATAATGCATAAAATATTTATTATAGGTTTATCTGATTATTACACAGATCATAATCAGAAGGCATTTTGTGAAAATTTTAGTGGTTTTATAGATGAAATGGTATTAATTCTACATCACTAATGACTAGTTTTAAGAGGTATTGCCTGGAATTCTAGTGAGAAGCAGTGACTATTGGAGTTCAACCGGGTCTATTTTGAGGTAGGATTCACTGAAGACAGTGGTGAACGGTGGCTCAATTTCATGGATTAATGGAAGTAAGACATGAACACCGTTGGATGCCGACTCAATGGTCTAGTGGTTAAGCGTTCGCGCGCTAAACTAATAGTTCCTGGGTTCGAGTCTCGTGAGGCGAGATCATGGATGCGCAACTGTTGAGAAGTCTCACAGTGGGACGAAACGACCGTTCATTGCCTTCAGGTTTTCCATAGTAGTCCAGCTTCAAATGACTCACGAATTCAACTATATTACATAGATGTCACTAGGATTTTAAGAGAAATTATTCAAGTCATTTTAGACACTTTATAATTCAAATAGTTTGAGACGAGTGATTACATAATGATAAGTTTAACTCAACTACAAGGGATACAATATAACACAGTTTCATCAATACCGATAGATAAATTCCCACTTGGAAGATAATAATTCCTTAGTGACTGTTATCGTCCATTAAATAGTGTCATTTCATTGTGGTAAACTCACATCTTAAATCACCTAGTTCGCTGAGTATTTCTTCATATACAATAGGGAATGAATAATATGTCTTAGAATTTATTCTTAATAGCAATAATTCAATCACAGTATTAAGTATATTAGTACAGGGTTATGTAGATTGCAGAAGCCGTGACCAGTGGAGATTAAACCTGTCAGTTGTGAAGCAGTGTTCGCGCGTGAGATCAAAGCTCCTGAGTTCGAGTCCTTCGTACGAGATTGTGAATGAGCGCTGATGACGAGTCCCATACTAGTACGAAATGGTTATCCAGTGTTTCAATGGTGGTCTTACATTGATCGGTTCATGATCTCTATTAAGGATATTTTGCATATATTTCACTTAAGAACACAAAATTCAACTTTAATCACTTTTATACATTACAAATAAGTAAGTACTTATATACGTAAATCTCTCTTGATAACCTATGTATATATATGAGGGGTTATACACATTAATTCAGTCTTACAGTTGTCAGGTAGAACAGATTCATCTGTACTGAATAATATGTATCAGTGTAAGATAAAGAGAAAAGCAGCACTGTAGGTGAAAAGAAATTTTCCCGATTTCATACATAAAGTTATGTAACAATCAACAAATAGACTTAATTTAACTGATGACAAAAGAGATTACAGTTGGATTATATCTATTTGTATTAACAACGATAACAACCACCACCACAAATAAAAGGAATAAGAATGTGAAATATTTGAATAGGTTTGTACGTTCAATCAATGGTATCTGAGGTGTATAATTTCAAAGATCTATGCTGATATTCAACGTCATTGATTATCAACTAAATCTCCCCTAATAAAATCTAAAAATAGAAAAAAGCAAATGACCAAATCTCTAGAATATATAAAGACAGAACATAATTACATAATGCCATACAGTAGGACAAGATTATTGTTTCCTTTTCGCTATCTGACTGTCATAACTTGTCGTTTGAATGCTTCTTGTCTTGGCTCTGTTTAATGCTACTTTATGTATCTGGTCGTCGCTGATTGTTATGTTGGAAACGCTTATTACTCATACTCGGATCGAGGGACCTCTGCAATTCCCACAACTGGTATAAGTGATGATTTATTAACCCCAAGACACTATGACGACGACAACAACGACAAAAGTCGAAAATACACTCATTTATATATTGATTGTACACACCCATTTTGATTCATAATAAGGATGAGATCACATATATGAAACATACTTAGAGTTATAACAAATCACAGACTGAGTATAGTTCATGTCAATGGAATACAAGAATATCTCACATATTATACAACATAAAATATCATACGACAAAAGAAAAACGAATACTACATTGAATAATCATTCCATTGAATCAAAAACGGAAGTATTCTTGAACAAAACTCATAATGAGTAAATCAATCGAAAAGTTGACTTTTCTTTCCATCATATCACCAACAAACATTCAAATTAAAGAGTGATAAATCTATCAAAAAACCCATCGGAATGGGGTTTTTGTGTAGGTTGTAGTAATTTTGATAGTTAAATTCATGAGTCGATTTAGGCTAGATTACCATGAAAACACTGGGAGCACTTTTTGACGGCCGTTTCGTCCTAGTATAAGACTCCTCAGTAGTTCGCGTCTATTATCCTGCATGAGGGATACGAAACCAGGACCTTCAACCTCGTACGTGAACGCTCAACCTCTAGACAACTGAACTGGCATCCAGTGGTCAATTGAACGAGACCAATGAAGGCTGGCTCAGTGGTCTAGAGGTTAAGAGTTCGTGATTACGATCTGTCATATTTCTATAGAGGACAGTTGATGATAACTATTAACTTTATTATTATTCTCTGGAGTGTGATATGATAATTTGATGTCATACAAGTAGGATGGTTACATTTACCCATGTGATATTATCCACCTGACTTCTATATTCATATACAGAAACACATTGTACTTTCAAAACGAAGATTTTCATCCAGAAGTAATTTAGTTTTTTTAGAGTTCAGTCAATCAGAAGGTAACTGATGATGAAACTCATTTCATCAAAATCTATAGATCGTTATATGTTAGTTGATATTCATGAGTATGACAGATGTGAATAAAATCAAGATGCGAGACTTCTTAGCCAACACCTATAAACAATCATCAATCTCCATTGTATTACATCAATTAAACTAGTTGTCATATTTAAACTTGGTTGGCTAAATTCACTGAAACTATTGGGGACTAGAGAAACACAATATATATTATTACTTAACGATTATTCAGTGTGAAAAGCTATTTACACCAAACGGATTGTTAAGATCTGATCAATTTTTACGTGATAAATAAATGAACACCAAACTAAGTACGATGGTGGTTGAAGGTATTCAACAGAAAACCTTGGATCTACGTTTCGTGCTACTTGGCACTCGTCAGCAAGGTGTACCTGTAATCTTGAGGGAACATAGTGTACTCTATGTCAAGTCACCCAGATTGATGACTACATTGCAACTTGGTCGATAGGATTCGATTTACACCAAGAAGGACCTGACATACCTGTCATTGATCACCACTCAGTGATCAATCAATTGTAAATACAAAACTAAGTTTTAAACCTTACTTCAAGAGGTGATTTTAATTCGACAACCGACAAACAATCAAGTGATAACAATGTGAGTAATAATTAGCTCATTCACCAAGTACTTAGGTACGAGCTACATTTAGATGTATGAAGGTTAATAATATCATCGAGTTCCTCAAGCCTAAATGAATGAATCCAATGACTCAACATCAAACATTTTAACCACTAAGTTACCAATCATTGCTAACCTAAATCATATGCTTTCAGAGAAATAGAATAATACGATAAGTCTAATTTTCAAGTATTCTCTTTCACTGTACAGCCGTTTCGTCCTATTGTTGGACTCTTCAGCAGTGTGCATTCACGATCCAGCTTCCTGAGATTCAAATCTAGGATCTGCCAATCTCGCGCTCGAACGCTTCAATCGACTCATGATCTCAACCATTAAAATTACTATTATATCCATAAAACACCTTGTGATATTCTCTTTCATATAAGAAATATGATCATATGGTTCTTCTTTTTTACAATAAATGTTACATTCTATTAACTTCATCAAATAACGAATGACATATTCATGTGATACCCTATCCCTCTCTCTATATATTACAACGAATAATGAAATGTTACTTTAACTTCATATATATATTACTGTTACATTGTTATCAAATTGTTTTTCTAATCATTATCCATGATGACCAATTGTTATGCAAGTGATTCAATTAACAAGGATATTCTTCATTGTCATTTATGCATCAGTTCACAATATGAATGATAATTCTAATGATTTATTGCATAGAAAAGAAAACAACAGAATCTATCATGTATGTTACTGTCAACAAATTCACTTATCTATATATGTATATATATATATATTTGATATTAGATGGGTTTTGTGGATATAATAGTAATTTCAATGGTTATGATCAAAAGTCAGTTGAAGCTAGACCATCATGGAAAACTTGGAAGCACTTAGATGGTCGTTTCGTCCTATTGTTGGACTCCTCAGCAGTACGCATCCACGACCTTAGATAAAAACCAATTAGATCAACATACTGGAAATAAGATGTACTTTTTTCAAGGTATTCATCATGTGCTGACTAGTGACTAGATCCAAAAATGTAACTCTTGGAGTTCAAGGAAGAAGTTGTGATTAGTGAAGTCTAATCTATATCAAGTGTGAGATAGACATTCATCTCAGGCATTGGATAAAGGGTTGGGAGCATGATCATGGATTAGACATTAGCATTGTTTGCTCGTATGACCGAAGGTCCTAGGTTCGAATCCTGCATATGAGATCTTGGATACTGAAGAGTCTTATGCTAAAACGAAACAATCATCCAGTGCTTCCAAGTTTTCTATGATTTTTTAGTTTAGATCGGTTGTTAGTGTTAAAGATTGTAATTTATATAGTTTTGTTTAAGCATATTTGTGTGTTGTACGGAATGCCTCTATTCCAGTCCCAGTGTAGAACATTGATATAGAGGTACAGATACATCTATCGAAAGAATTGCAAACAGGATGAAACAGGAATATTAAATTGCGCTACGG